GCCTCCCCTCAGGCCGAGCCGCGAGAGCGGGAGGCAGAAACTTGGTGCCCCGAAACAAGCTCCGCCGCCAGGGCCCGGCCTGCCCGGCTCTTAAAGGGGCCGCAGTCGCCCGCGCAGCACCTGACTCGCCGCCACCCCGCTCGCGCACACATTCACACACGCGCGCGCGGCCCGCCCCCGGACCCACGCACCGCAGGCCCCGCTCCTGGTGGGCCAAGCCCTCAGCCTGCAGCAGGCCTGGGGCCCAGCCGGGGTGGCAGCGGGCGCCGCTGCGGCTTGGGGTTTCTGTGGTTCAACAAGGGAAAGCGAAAGCGCGGGGGAGGAGCCGGGAACCGCATGAACTCGGGCGCCCGGGCGCGGCCCTGCTCTGCCACCGGCTGCGCTCTGGTGCCAGGCAAGGACCCCGGCTTCACCCGCGTGCACCCCCTACGCATCACCAATGCATCTCCAGGAGACTGCTGAGAGCCCCCGGGAGGTCAATGGCAGGACATTGATTAAAATGAATATGAAACGCTGAATCCAATGTATACAAAACCCGGTGGGTTTTTAAAACATAACAGTGCATTTGCCTTCCTGATGTAAAGTCTGCGCACCATAATCCGTAAGCAATGTACACAAGCATACGGGCATGTTCGCGTTGTGAGCCATGGGCACGCTGGCACTCTGGAGAACTCTCGGAATAGATTCAAACAGAGCTGGGGACCTTACGCAAGACAGCTGCCAGTCGGGACCCAAAAGCCAAAAACAAATCCCCTGAAAACAAACCCCCACCAAAGGAAATAATAGGCCTGATCTTGGAAGCGTTACGAACACATGTACACCGCCTGTACACTGTGCCACAGCAGCCAACTACTGTTTGGCCAAAAACGAAACAAAACAAAAATGGAAGGAGTGCGACGGAGGCACGGGTTTTTAATGGCATAGTCTGCATGTGTGCTAGGCCCCAAACTTACAGTGTTGGCCTGTAGCAGTTACTGCACGTGTTCAGTGGTTTAGGAAGGTTTCATGGGTCCCATCTCCACCTTACATGTATTGCGCAATTAACAGATTATTCACACCATATAATTTGAACAGGCTACACATGCAATGTAACTATCACACCATAAAACGGTGCCTCCAGCTATAAAGTTAGAGCTGGAAAAAGTTACAGCTGAAAAGTGTTAACAACTTTATAGCTAGTTTCTCTCCCGCTTTCATTTCAACATGTAGCATAGCTAATCGTAGGGAATCTGCGTGGTGTGTCATGCAGGCAACCTCCAACAGCCAAGCCAGCCGTGACATGGAGGTTCCATGATGGGCTGTCTCCTGGGAAAAGTACGTCCCAATATTGTACCATTTTGCATACTGACTCAAGGTTTTCTATTTTGCCAGTCATCTAATAACACAAGGGACTTGAAATTTTCTAGCCATGGGGAACCCAAAGTGTGTTTTGCTGACAGATTTCTGTCATGTTAGAAAAATAACTCCGAAGCTCTAAAAAGTTCAAGGGAGGCATCAAATAAATATATATTTAAGTGTGTGTGTGTAAAATGGTCACAGCATAACTACTGAAAATCATCTCAGAAAGAAGATTCAAAGACAACGTGTTAAATGTGTGTACCAAATAATAATAATAGTGTAAATGTCCCGTTGAAACCTTGCATTTATATTTAAATAGGAAATATCAACCAGAGGTGAAAACATTGTATTAGGAACATTGATATATTTACTGTCCAATAGCTTTTGCTTATAGCAGGGGTTGGCAAAACATGGCCGGCGGGCCATTCTATCCGACCCATGGGGCCCCTAA